GCAAACCTGCCAGACATTCACGTAAAACATTTGGTTTACGAAACCTTAAAACTTCCGTAACTACAGAACCACGGCAAGCTCAACCACCGACACACATTAACAGTCACTGAGACCAGTGGACATAACAGCACTTTATGCTGTCTTTACGTTTACCCTTACATCTACGCAAACCTATTATCTGGATTTTTGTTGCTGCAGCTGCGTCAATGCCTATCATTCTCATAGAGCTGTTGCGATACCATAACCTACTGGTCTCTACAAGAAAGTGATTAGTGGACGGGAGCATTAAATTATCTGCTAGTGGAGTTTCACTTTCCGTCTGTGGGTTATGTCTGGTCACAAATAAACGTGTGGTTGATCTGTGCTTTCAACCGATATCGGATAACTATCCTGGATTGTACAAATCACAACTAAAATTCCTGTGTGAAACCTGCAACTACATGACTGCCCGTCCTCGATCACATGATAGATTTAGGAATGATCCGGTCATCGAATAACACATGGGGATCCCCTTTGCACATGGTCTCTAAAGGGGGCAGCACTGATCGGCCCACAACTGACGATTATCAACCACTTAATACGAAAATCACTCATACTGTTTCCCGCCACCACACATTCACTACCTGACGGGTACTTTAAAAGGTACGACCGTCTTTTCGAAAATCGACCTGGTTAACGCATGTAACCAGACGCGTATGGTTGCGGAGGGCATTCCCAAAACGCCTATCATCAGTCCCTTTGGACACCACAAGTCCTTCCGGTTTGAGAAATACTGCTCAAACTTTCCACTGATCAACTGATGACCTTTTCAGAGGTCTCGAATTGGTGCATGCACATATCGGTGACTGTCTGGTTTAAGTCCTGGAAGAGAATCCCATTTCCTTTGTCCGGACCTTGCCTTTCAACGACTTGAAAAACATGACACTTCTGTAGACGTTTAGGAATGTCAAATTGTGATCGACTCACTTCACTTCGGGTATATTATTAACGCTCCAGGTATTCAACCTCTGTATAACTCAGGATCAACCACAGTTGAGTAGCTATGTTCATCCAACAGACTGGTGACTTTTCGTCGACAGTCAATATTGGTTTGTGTGCCTCTTATCAGACCAGTCACAGACCAAAGTTGGGGAATGAAACAACAATCAACTTGGACGATGATGAGTAAAGAGCATTTACTACGGCGTGAACAGTATCATCAGGTCTAATACACCCGCACACCAATACACTCAAACGCCCACAGGTATCGCCGTAGGATCAAAGGAGCCATACAACAATAAGTACACGAAGGTTCGCAAGCATTGGTATTCTTTTCTGGACGGTTCCAAGACAGTGAATCCAGTTACGGCTTCTTTGGTGGGGAACTCCTAGCTATTTACTGCACTGTACGACAGTTTCAACACTCTGTGGAACTCCGAGAATTCACCCTGATCAGTGGCCATAAACCTCTTGCCTTTTCTCCTAGTCTGTTTTCAGTCAAGCACTCTCATCAAGAGTCCGGAAAACTGGACTACGTTTCTCAACTTATTTGGAATATAAAACACATTTCTGGGGCAAGCAATGCGGTCGTTTCGTTCTAGACAACTTTAACTATGTTCTGTAAATCAACCAGATTATAGAGGAATAAAAATACACTGTTCATCACATCCACTATGATGCACTGTCTGGCTTCTGAACTGACGTGCCTAGATTTACTTGAAGGACCGAAATGCTCGTGGTAGACGCTATACTGACATGGGAAGTTAACTTCATGTATTATGCGAGACAGTTTACTGAACCAGCGGCAAGAATTGTTTAGTGCTACGAGTTTTTGTGAGTGGCTGAGGCGTATTCTAGGGAAAGGAACACACTGAAGCGAATTTTCTATCGACTGTTTATCGTGTAAGGTAGAGCATGTGAAACTGATAATCGCAACTTTAGGCATACTAATGACAAACGAAAGGACATGGCATACTCCATGGATAGTTTGTTGGCTTTTGAAATGTCCTTAGGTTCATTAACGTGAGTTATGAACTGGATTTGATGACTGTAGTGGAGGCAGTGAGCAAACTTCTAATCACTTGATTATGAAGGAAGTGGATAAAAATTAATTCTGCCATAGAATGGAAAGGTAGTTAGCCGGGATTTTCGAATATCCAAGAATTAATCGATCACAACATGAATCAGTTCCCATGCAGATTTGCCGATATATTGTATAACACTTCGGGCCTTAATGAATTAGTTACCCAAAAACAAGTATTTGCTACAAAGGTTGTTGGTGTAGTAGATAAGAAGGTTGAATGTGAGTGAGTAGCAAAGAACGTCATTTAGAGGATTGTGACAAGTTTATCAGCTCACCTGTGTAACGAAGAACGGAGTTTACGATCAAAAACCTGTGTCTCAAGTCTTTAAAAGGTGGATACATAATTACGCAATCTACACTACTTGGGGAACAAATTCATTGTCGTAATCTCGGAGTAAAGGGGCCATTAATACACAGGTCAACTGTTTATCGAGTAAGGTGAATCGCATTAGTATAATGTCTGACGCGGAGATTTATAAGACCCTTCAGGGTACAAAAAGTAGACCAAACTCCTTTGGACATAAAAAGCTGTCAGATCAGTGTTTACCAAAGGCACGCTTAATAAGTCTAGACTTCTATCCGGTCACCAATACCACACAAAGGTTGGAGTGAACTGAAGCAATTAGTGGATCCGTGAAACCAATAGTATATCAAGCTTACATCAGTTTCTCTTTTCCATAAGGCTGTTTGGAAACCTCTGGTTATTTCTGATTGTTTAGACTTAACATGTCTTATGAATGTGAAGGTAAATAAATCCCCGTAACATATAGTTCTTTCGATCGCGCACTCTATATCATAGTTTTTCTGACCTCGAAGGAAAAGAGTAGATTTATTGGGTTAGAATTTAGTCCTTAGTATCCTCTACATCAGAATGGGATAAATACTTCATATATGACAACTTGAAGTAAGTAAACCTGACAATTCTAAATACCACTGGATATAGTTAGCTTCTCATTCCCTGAACTAAGAAACAGGCATGTTGCACAATTGTGTAGGCCGGTAAGGATTTCAGACCTCCGACAATTTGAATGTTATATGAATCTCCAAAAACTCCGGAAATAATCAAAGGCAACAAAAGCTGTTCTTCATTTTCCAGGTCGACGTTGGCTTGACTGTATGGATAAAAGCGTGTGATACTTGTAAAAAATTGGTTTGTGCATTACTGAGCGATTTGTTTGCTCTTTGATGCTACATGCTTATAGACTGATTTTTCTCTTGGTTCCTGGTTTACTCCTGGTTATTAGAATACGTTTAGACTAATATGGGAATTGTTGATTCATACATTACATTAACAATTAAATGCTCCTCCCCACAAACATCCGCGGATTTAAATCATCACCCTCACCAAAAATGTTTTCTGGTCAATTACTTCTTATTGAACGCAAACAGCAATCTATATTGACACTGTTGAAATTGCTTGCAGGGTTTATAATGCAAGCAACGTAAACTGCGCAATACTGACCAGATAATATCATGTTTCAGCTGATTTTGATTAAAAGCCAGACAATACATCAGAGTGAACGTGATGAAGAGTGTATCTTTATTCCTATCAAATCTGACTGATATAGAGAACAAGGTTGAAGTTGAATTAATAATCCCGTAGACATTGTCAAACTAGTAGGACAGATGTTAAATAGCCAAATCTCATTCCGGAATTAATAAGTAACGATTCCAAAAGCGGCATGAAACTATCACATGAAATCGAAAAATAAACACCTCGAGTAATCTCCCTCAGTTCTGAATTGAAAGTTTAACTTTTGAAGGATTAATCCTGGGGTGTAATCACTATTACTTCTAATAAGATATTTCACAGCCTGTTAAGTTTGACGGAGAAAATATTTGCTAGCTACTTTGTGTTTCATCCTTAATGGAGTTTCCCCCACACATACATCAGCAATGACACTTTTAAGCAAAATTTTTGGCAATTATGTTTGTCAGCAATACAATGCACCATAACAAAAACCTCTACGATTCTTCTGTACTGCAGAAGTCTTACGTTCAAAGCCATCAGGTTAGCTGAATAAAGTTCCCTTCTCCTTTCAAATATCTTTTTTGCTTTTCTCCAAATTCATTTCAAAAACTGTGTTCGCTCTAGAGCAAACAGACATGGCGTCTGGGATTATTTACAAATGTGATATTAACTAAGCACTGCAGTGACTTTGGATTGTTTTAGAATTCGGATACTTTAAATTTCGAGGAGAAACACTCAGACTACTTTGCTTGTTACAGAATTCTAATAGGGCGGAACACATAGTGTTGAAGATGGCACAGGTATTCAGTGTTTGACAACACTTTAACCACTAACATCTAATATAACTCGTACCTACCAAGAGAAGTCAAAAGACAGAATCAAAGGGATTGGAAAGTATACTTGATGTGATATCAATATATCGAGAATCGTCCGATCAAATCTGGCTAGCGATTGCAGTAGATGTTGAGCATGGCGTTCCCACTCGTGATCTGGTGCGGATGCATGACCGAGCTCCTTCAGCTAGGTTGGTCCAGTAAATCATGTGGTCAGCATCCAATGTCGAAACTTACAGAGTTATATATTTTGGGGATTTATTTACAGCTACAGTGTCATTTACGGTGATTCTCAGGTGGTGAAATATTAATCTGGAAAAGTGAACAATGTATATTTTGGGGATTTCCCCAAACTTGGGAGATTGGATCTATCGCTACGAGGGTATACAGTGTGTGGAAACTAAGCGAGTGACGACTCTTCTCAAACTCTTCACGATGGACGATCAAAACTTATATTGACATTCCTTACTTTAAAGAATAATTAGAATATTAGCACGTATTATTTTTTGCACACCGATGCCATAGCGGAATGTTTAGATGTCAGAGACTGAATAAATTTGACCTCAGCCAACAATACACTTGGCTATAAGTCATTTGGCGTTTTCTGAAATATTCAGGTCTCCTAAAGGCGCGCCTTGAGGCGGGTCGCTCAAGGTCGCCGGGACGAATAGCAGGTAACTTCATTGAGGCGAACTTTATTTCTCCTATTCCTTTAGTGCCACCCGTTAAACTCAGTGAACATGAGAGATCTGAAAAAAGATGAGTTCGCTAAGGTTGTAGCCAAACTACAGAAATAGTAACTTTATGATATATTCCTAATAGCTTTAAGTATTAAGGATGTTGATGAATTATTAAACAGACCAGACGACAAGTACAATTTTTACTACCATCGTGATCGCGTTTTTTATTGCCGGTAAGCTTCAACTAATCTTTCGAAAGTGTACGTTATAAAATTAGTTCGACACTCGCAAAACATGCTGCATCAATCAAAAAGAAACATTTGCTAAGCTTTGGGACTTGTATTGGTCGCTTCTCAAAAACAGGCAACTTTAGACTCCACATAACCGCGCTCGACTTCTTATCACCGTATGCCATGTATCGTGTTTGGTTAAAAGCACCGTCTGAACAGCAGTTTCTTTATGGACAAAATATTTTGAGGTCAGGCGTCGCTAAGATGTCGGACAACACTCCTCAGTACGCCGGTGTTGTTGTAATGAACATGAGTGATATGCCTCTAGTAATGCATCCAACGAAATTTCGTACCTAACCTATTATTTTCAGGGTTTTGGGGTTGCTGCCAAGTCATCTCTGCAAGTAAAAAACACTGATCCAATGACAATAACCGTCTTTCACCAAGCTGATATTGGGGAGTATATTCGATCGGAAGAAACTATCGTTTGAAGTATATGGATAACCTTAAGTACTGCTTTTTTCTGTTTGTATAAAAACTTTCCTTAAACACCATGTTGTTGGCTAAATGGCTTTAAGATGACGAAAATGTTACTTGGAGATCGTGTGATTTTGTTTAAGACAGCAGGTATGTATACAAAACCACCTAGGTATAGGTTTATGTGTCATTAGTCTCAAATATTTGCTTTCCATACTCATCGGGATTTTTATATATGTTCTTGAGTTTGGATTGCATTCCGATAGCATTTACTTTTCTCATTCAAGCCAGTATTATGTGCCACTTCAAAATGATCCAGATGTAAATGTGCTGCTCTTTGTACCTCAAGGAAATAAATGTTAGTGAAATTCCTCATGTGGCATGGACTACTACCTTTTGGAAATTAAAACTGATAATCCAGTTTTAAATAGCTGTAGATCTATGTTTGCGTAGTTCGTAAAGATCAATATAAAAAATAAGTCTTAGATATTGAAGGAAAATTTAGATTTATGTATAGAGCTAAAAATGTGAAACATAGCTTCAGTCTAACATTTGGTAGATGCGGTATTACGTGAATATAAAATTTAAAAGACATGTAAATCGGAAATGTTCATTTCTAGGTAAGTTTATTGCATACTTCATACGTAGTTATATTACTAAGTAAACGGTACTAAGGTTAGGCACTCTTCTGATCGAGGAGGGTTACTTTTTAAACCTGCAATTCAAGTTTCATGGGTTATACTACCTATATCAGCTCAGCGACCATTCAAATACGTGGCTTAGTAGTTGAGCTAAGATAGAAGCTAAAGTTAACTAGACCAATATATGACAACTGTATGAGGTTGTCCAGATAGATACAAGCTATGGCCTTCACTATGCGAAGGTCGGTTTTATCTTCCAAACTATCGACGTAAACAAATTTTGTTTAGTTAACGGAAACATGAAGTCGTTTGCACATGTCGTAAATAGTCCCAAGTGATGTGCCAATAGTAATCAGGTACTAACTAGTATGGAGTTTGAGTAGTACATACGCCATTTCTTACTTAGCGTGACTCTTAACGATTATGCGTTTGTGGTCTGTCTTGAGCCACACTTTATCCGAGGAGCATTGAGACAATTTTTTTTAAACAGAAGGTTGTACAAGGTTGAAATGCGTGAAGTAGCAGCTCAGGTCCTGACGAATTATCTGCGGTTATTACTCAGTGCAGCAGTGATTCTCACCAACTAATGAATGAAGTGGGCTTCTATGGTTGGTTGGTCTACAAAATATCCCTTCATCGACACTGAACCGGCTTAATGGTATTTAACCTCAGCTAACCCTACCGTTTGTTGTGTAAGTGGCGCATTTATGATGCTCCAATCCATTATTGTGTTTAACGATGTGAAATCAACGTTGATCTAACAGATGATGGTAGGTATATACTACTCGTTATTAGTCATAAAGTTTAAACAATCACACTGAGTAGTTTGCATTCATGTCCCGTTCTGTTAACTACAAAATACCGCAGTCTCATATTTTTTTCTTTGCTGTTATTTCTGTCTAGTTACATCTCGAGGCACTGTCAGGTATATACGTTGAGAAATGCCTAATTAACGACTGTCCTATCTTAGCTGTGTGAAAAATGTATTTATACCTATTTTGCTTCGTGATTGTCCTCAGTCTCTTCGATGGTTTTAGAATCTAAAAATACGACTACGGTTAATATAAGACTTTTTTGGCGGAAAAAATAGTAAATATGCGATTTGGAAAAAATTCTGTCTTTATCTCTATAAGAACCATAAACTTCCAGAATTGTGTGAGCTTCGAGCACATGCGAGATATGCTAGACAGAAACGTAAGCTACTCGTGTCACGGAACTTGAATCCCCTTTGTTTTGTACTGTTCACGCTTCCCCTCATATTATCACATCCCTTCAAAGCACCTTGATGCACAACTTACAATTCCTCTTCTGCAAAGTTTTATTTAGAAGCAAATTAGAACTGCTTGCAAATAAATTAGTTTACTCTTTAATATGGACTTCATTAAGTTACAGATCTTGTTTCCAGTAACTGGCCGTTTGTTGACTCAAAATTCCCGACCGTTGTTGCTACCTTGACGTGGTGGTCGGGCTTGCCTATCGTGATGAAGCAACCGAGCTATACTGGCTGGAACAACCGTTCCTCAAGGTCCTACCATGTCAGACAGGTCGGTTGAAGAGCGGTAAGACTAAAAGCAACAAACCCAAGGTCCGAAGGCGAAGTCGTACTGCTGACTGTACAGAGGTGTGACAGCAGTAAGGTGTTTCCTTCAGACAACCAGCATGACAGCGATGCTGCCTTCCCACAAGGAGGGGTGGGGTTAGAAAAGGTCGACCCTAAAAATGCACACCTCGCCTTATCCCACGGATATCCGTCTCCGGCGGTAAGGTCTCAATAAGTACGGAGCTAACACAAAAATTACCCATAACAAGGTCGTGTGTGACCGACCTCAAGCAGTTGTCCCTTGGGCACTGCGGTCACGCTCTCAGGTCACTAAGACCACCTCTAATCCAATTTCCTTTTCAGGTACCTCCAGAACAACCCTTCCACGGTGTGGGCAACCGGGAAGTGATAACCGCCCTCATACTTCTAACAGCACTCAAGACCACTGTATTCATAATCAACCTCCTCTTCAATTCCTATTATTCCTCCTACATCGACTTTCAACTCTATATTTCCTCTCTCGGCTTCCACCTCAAGTGTCACCGTAGCCAACGATTCTAGTGCGCAAAACACTGTCCCAGGTCTACTGAAACCTCGCTCCAAACTACACATTGGAGCCTTCAACGTACGCACCCTATGTCAAATCGGTCAGCAGGCTTCCTTGGCTAAAACCCTAGAGTCTCTTTCCATTGATGTATGCTGTGTCTCCGAAACACGCATACAGGATTCCAGTGTGGTCATTCACTTGACCTCACCTCGGCAAGACGGAGAGCCAACGAGATACACCCTTCGTGTGTCTGGTGACCCGATGGCAAGTTCTCGTGGACTGGCAGGTGTAGGCATAGCACTAAGCATGAGGGCCGAACAAGCACTGCTAGAGTGGATCCCCGTCAACAGTCGTCTATGTGCTGTTCGGCTGAACGGCTACGTAAGAACTCGGAAGGATAGGGACACACGTCGTTGCCTTTTTGTCGTTTCTGCCTACGCTCCCACTGACTGCAGCTCAGATGAAGTGAAAGATGAATTTTACAGAAAGCTGTCCGAACTTCTTCAGAAAGCTAAACGCTCAGACATAGTACTCGTAGCAGGTGATTTTAATGCTCAGATAGGCAGTTTAAACCAAACAGAAAGGCATTTAGGTGGATATTTTAGTATTCCGACACAGCGAACAGATAATGGTGATCGTCTGCTGCAGCTATGCTCAGACAATCGTTTATTTTTAGCAAACACAAATTTTAAGCATAAGGAGAGACATCGTCTAACATGGCGACCCCCTACACCAAACCAACGATGGACTCAAATAGACCATATTGCCATCAGTCATCGTTGGAGAGGGTCGGTAGAAGATTGTCGCTCATTCTGGAGTACCTGCTTGGACTCCGACCATGCCCTAATACGGGCACGCATCTGCTTGCGCCTCACTGGACGCAAAAAAGCCACATTAAAAAGACCCATTAGAACTGAGTTGAGTAACGAGAAAACCAAAAGTAGGTTCCAGGAACAACTGAGGTCACACTTAGGTAGTTGTGAAGACGAGGCTGACCCAGATGTTGCTTGGAAGGGCATACAATCAGCTGTGGAAACAGCAGTGACATCTATTAGTGACTTAAACCACAGAGTTACAAGGAACCAGTGGATTTCTTCAAGGTCTGTCACACTGATGGATTCTCGCAAACTCGTCCCATCAGGTTCTGAACATGATGAAGAGCGTAAACAAATCAGATCTAGGTTAAGAAAAAGTCTAAGGAACGACCGTGAGCAGTGGTGGGTAACGAAAGCAAAAGAGATGGAAAAGGCGGCGACTATAGGGAACACAAGACAGCTTTACAGACTAATAAAAGAAACTGGAATTAATAAGTCAAGTGTAAGTGAGATTATTTCGGAAAAAGACGATACTCTCATCTGCTCCCAGTCCAGACGTTTAGAACGATGGGCGGAACATTTTAGAGAACAGTTCAGCTGGCCTTCAGCTACTCTACAACTACCCTCCATTCCCAGACAGTGTGAATGGAACATTGAAGTAGGTCCCCCAACTCTTGCTGAAGTTGAGAAGGCTATAGTTAATCTGAAACGAGGAAGGGCAGCTGGTCCAGATGGATTGGCTCCAGAGGTCTTTAAGGATGGTGGTCCAATTTTAGCGATTAGGTTGACTAATATTTTAGCTAAGATCTGGGAATTAGACGTTATCCCATCTGACTGGTCGCAATCACTTATCGTCCCAATATATAAGAAAGGGTCAAAATCATCCTGTGACAACCACAGAGGGATTAGTTTAACAAACATAGTATCTAAAATACTGGCCTCGATAATTATCAAACGCCTAACTAAGACTCGTGAACTACAAACACGAGAGAACCAAGCTGGCTTTAGACCTGGTCGTGGCTGCATCGACCACATATTCACCATTCGTCAGGTTCTAGAACACAGGCATACCTATCGGCGTCCGACGATGGTGGTCTTTCTTGACTTAAAAGCAGCATTTGACTCTGTAGACCGCGAGACTCTGTGGCAGTGTCTGTCATTGAAAGGCGTACCTCAGAAGTACATAAACCTTGTGAAGGCTCTTTACTCGAACACTACTAGTCGAGTCAGGGCTTATGGCGAACTGTCATCTACTTTTGCAACCTCAAGTGGTGTCCGTCAAGGCTGCCCACTTTCTCCATTTTTGTTTAACTTCATCATAGACCTATTGATGGAAATAACACTCTCGTCGACTGAATTCTCGGGTATTGATCTCCTTCCAGGAGGTCCACTTATCGACTTAGAATACGCAGATGACATAGTCCTGTTTGGTGAAGACGCTGACAAAATGCAGAGTCTTCTGGTAGCACTAAGCAACAATGCCAGAATGTTTGGGATGCGCTTCTCTCCCTCTAAATGCAAGTTGTTGCTTCAGGACTGGTCTGCGTCAACACCTGAACTAAGGATAGGGAGTGAAGTAGTCGAACGCGTTGACAACTTCACTTATCTTGGAAGTCTGATCAGCCCTAATGGGTTGGTGTCTGACGAAATCTCAGCACGGATTCGTAAAGCTCGTTTGGCTTTTGCCAACTTACGTCACCTTTGGCGGAGGCGAGATATCCGTCTATCAATAAAAGGACGAGTATACTGCGCGGCAGTCCGTTCTGTTTTAATTTACGGCAGCGAAACATGGCCCTTAAGAGTAGAAGACACCCGTAAGCTACTAGTATTTGACCACAGATGCCTTAGAAATATTGCTGGCATCTGCTGGGATCACCGGGTAAGTAATAGTGAGGTTAGACGCAGGGTATTAGGGAATGATGGTAAATCAGTTGATGAGGTTATGAATCTTCATCGACTGAGATGGTTGGGCCACGTATTACGTATGCCTGAACACCGATTACCGCGACGTGCAATGCTAACCGGTGTAGGGGATGGTTGGAAGAAAGTTAGGGGCGGCCAAACCAAAACGTGGCATCAGTGCCTGAAGTCACTAACTTCTAGTCTGAGCCATGTTGGTAGATGCAGACTACTTGGTTGGGGTCCGCGTGACTTTCGTAACCAATGGTTGGAGACCCTTGGTGACATGGCTCAGAATCGATCACAATGGCGTCGGTGTATACACTCTCTGTCTTCTCTTAAACTAAGAGATTAAGATCACTTCACATCTTTCTTTCTACGAACTAATTCTTTCTTCCTATACTATATCCTTATTGCAATCTTTCTCCTATATATTACCACCTTTGACCTAACCACTCCTATGAATCCGGTGTTCATCTTGCTGTGCTAATGAGGTATGGCAACCTGGGCCGATGCATATATGTGCCTGGTCCTACGTTGTAGCTGACTGACTGACTGACTCAAAATTGATATCTGGGTCACATTTTTTCATGTTACTGGGATGGATGGCACAGAACACCATTGAAAATTACGTAAAACCGGTAACCTTAAAAATCATACCGACTATTAGTATGGAAATGAATTTTCATTATCCGATTTACTTATTGAATATAAGAAAAATTATTCACAGTTCAGATTCATTGCAAATTATTTAGATGACTGGTCATTGTATCCTCGGATATATGACTTAACGTTCGTACAACTTTCAAATATGTAAGGATTAATAGTGGCGTTCTGATCGTATAGAATATTTATAACCACAAATTATCTTGCATAGTGTTAAGTGCTATATAGGTTTCATCATGATAATCATCGCTATCCAAGTATAATTCAAGTAAAAGATTAGACATGTTACCGAGACCATGGAAACAAGCATGAAATATTGTACCAGGACTTTTTTTAACAAAATCGGATATTCAAAATTTATTCATAATTTCATTGTTATGACTACTACTACTACTATTGGTACTAGTTAACAATTGTTTTCCATAATTTCATCATCAAGCTTTAGTCACAATAATTCTATTACATATGATAAAAAGTAAAGAGTATTTCTAAGTAAGTGACTGAATTAAATAATGAAATGTTAATCAGTCAGAAACAACGTAGAACTTCGTACGTACGTACATCAGTTCGAGTTGCCATACCACATTAGCACACAGATACAATTGTCGATTCAAATTCCGTAGTGGTAGAGGTAGTAAGAGTATAAGCAGTAATCGGAAAGGTTAGGGTTTGAAGATGTTATTCAAGGAGTATCATCCAGTGAAATAAATTTGGAAAGAGAAAAAAGAAAGGGACATGAAGAATTTAGAATATTAGAATTTTGGTGAACACAAAGAGTGGATGCTTCTGCGCAATTGCAAACGACTTTGAGACATTTCATTCAAGGCCTATAACTATCGATTTGTATCGTCTCGCGGATCCCAATCAGGTAGTCTACACCTACCAACATGGCTCAGTCCACTT